GAAGGCCATGGAAAGTGGTAAGTAATCCTCACATTATATACAAAACCCCCTTACAGTAATAATCTCTCAAGATAAACAAGCTATTTGTATTCCATATCATAAAGATTACAGATTTCTGAGACCCAAAACCATTTTATATCATTAGAATTTCACTAGACTCCTATTCGGCCTAAGTCTTACCTCCCCGTTGTCCAGCAGTTTTCAAATCCTCGATAGTATAGTGGTTAGTATCCCCGCCTGTCACGCGGGAGACCGGGGTTCAATTCCCCGTCGGGGAGAGGTGTGAAAACTTTTTTATTTGTATTTATTTCGTTTTATTTTTTGTTATTTTATTTTGCGTGCTTTATTTAATATTAAAAATAAAAAAGTACATAAATTAGCAACAATAAAATAAAATTGTAGGTTCTAAGCCACCAACTACTTTATGAATCTTGGAAATAATGAGTATTTTGGTGCTCAGTAAATAAATATAATAAAATAAAATTTGTAAAGTAAAAGATAACTTAAGCAAAAAGTATTAGAACAAAAATTAAATTAAAATTCTAGTAGTAAATTTAAAAAAAAATGTTTTCACATCTCTCCCCGACGGGGAATTGAACCCCGGTCTCCCGCGTGACAGGCGGGGATACTAACCACTATACTATCGAGGATGTTGAACGTGGCTTGCCAAACGCGAAACAAACGCGGGTTGTATTCTCATATCTTAGGTTCCCTTTCGGTTCTGTGTTCGTTCGCATTTAGTTATGAAAATAAATATATTTTTAGATCCGATAGCAGTGGAGTCACCCTCACAAGGTGTTAATGGGGAGAATGGTTGATGCGTTTACAAATTATGTTTGACGCGGTTGAACTAGCTGCGTGGCAACTCCTCTGCCTGTCTGTGTGTGCATATGGTGCCCCCAGCTCGAACTCTCGAGGAGGGTGTGTGGGTAGATTTATGCCCAGCGCTGCGTGTAATTATAATTTATCGTTGTTGAAATTCCATAAAAGTTTAACACCTCACCTTGGGTTCGTGATGAAGTGCAGCGGAGAGGAGAAGAACGAAGGAAAAGAGCCACGAAACGAGCCTGAGATGGAATCAGAAAAATGAGCTGCATCAAAGTTAATTGCACTTCACTTTCTGAAGGGTTGGTAAAAAAAAAAAAAAACTATGGACGTTGATCCGCTTTTCGGCTTTTCCACTTCGTGTCTGTGTGTATCCATCAGATTTTAATTCATTGCAAAAGTGTGCAAGAATGGAACAAATTCCGAGCATTTTTCCACATGTTGCTGACAACATGAAATGTCTTTGGTTTATTTTTACACACACCCAACATAGCACCGTACCGCGCTCACACACAATAAAGTGTCGCCCACGTTGACACAAATTTCTGGTACAATACGAAAATTTCCATGCTGCACAGATACATGGCCTGGTATATATGGTATATCCGTGAGATAAAATGCCTGGACTGAGAGAAAAAGAGAGAGCTACCGGCCAACAAAAGGCAGCAAAAACACACAAGAATCCGAGTTGTCCTCGGGGACCTGGACCATTGCATGACTTTGATTTAGGGCTCAGCCACACTCCAAGTGACATCTCGGACCCTTTGGTTAGACCTTCGTCTTTTGTCTGATTTCTGGCCATGTCTCTTTTGGTGATTTCTGGTGATTTCTTCGTTGATTGGAAGCGGGAGCCTGTTGCGCACATCTGTTGGCCATGTTGTGCTGCAGTGACCCGAGGGTTTCCTCTATATGCTCTTGTGTATCTAATGCCGGTTCTAACAATAATTCCAAAGATACAGATACCGATTCGGATTCAGATTCGTTACAGATACAAATACAGATACATTCGGCCCGCCACTCTGTCTGGCCCTGTTCCCAGTGAGTGTCGGCCGCTTGTCTTTTTTTGTGTTTATTGTACGGATCGAGAAGTGTTCCGCCGTCCCCCGCTCCGTTTTTCACACGAAATACTCGAAAATTCAAAATGGATTTTGGATTTTCTATTGTATACAGCTCACAAGAAAAAAAAGAAACAACAAAAATGTGTACATACGTCGTTTATGGCTAGAATCAACCTTTAGCCCCCGCATCGCTCTCCTCAGCTGAGACTAAGGCGAAAGCAAACAAATTTGAAAGCACAGTGCAGTGCTAATGGAACGAACAAATCCCAGTCTCGGCCAAAGGCTTTTTGGCACAGGTGCTAATTGGCCAATGCAGCAAATCCTCGCGTTCAACTCGCGTTCCCCTATTGCGCGAATTAGCACGGAGATCGCACAAAAATTTCGCGCTAGAGATACTTTCAGAATTTTGCCTCTAATCAAATGCGATCCACACCAGTCATGGACTCTGCACATTCCACTTATTTAGAATTTTCCGTTTCTCGAACCGTGGAAGAGTAGTAAAAAATAATAATAATAAAAATAATTAGTTTATAAATTTATATAGCCTTTTGTAACATTTTTTTGTATAGAGTAAGAAATATAGAAATGATGGTACTAATTAGGAAAGACTCATTCCAAGACTGTTGATAGCGTAATTTATTAAATTTTCTATTTAAATAAGTTTAAAATTGTAGAATATGTTTTTCTTGATCAAAATTATGAATCATGCCTTTTAGCTTTACAGTTGGATTTTACGTTTTATTTCTTTCTGAAATTCTTAGAACCATTTTTATTATAAAGGGACTTTCCCTAGGGCTTAGCTTCCCTAGAGATTAGCAATATTATATATGTATATACATTTATATAAAATTAAATTTACCTAAACTGAATGTTTCTAAGTATTTATAATGCTCATAGTATAAGAAATAAAGCATCTAAATACTGATAAATGCTCTCCTGAACCCCTTTAAATTCATATACAAAATTAAATCTAAATTGTTGGCTTCTACCCATTAAACTCAATTGATGGTATCCCCAGAAGCAACTAGATTTTCTGGCTCCTCTTAAAAGAGGAGTTCACCATCAGTTGCCCTCCGGCCGAAGTCCCTTTTCCATACTCCATTCCCCTTCTCTGTCTCCGTTTCTCCTTAGTTTTTTTTCTCCAACTCTCTGACTCTGGTGCAGCGTCTGGCTGTGCGCCGCATGACTCCTACACTTGAGAAATCACACCTCGCAGCAGCCACATCCACAATCCGGGCATTTAGGGAGTAGGGAGTGAGCTTGCAGGGAGCTGGTTGTGGAGAGCTGGAGGCATCATCCAGAGATTTGACTAGACAAAACCAGAGCAGACCCAGAACCAGATCGAAATGAATTATGGCCGCGGGCGTGATAATAAACGAAAGATCAGCACGGCGATTGGAGTGGAAATGCACTGGGAAAAAGAAAAAACTATAAAGATATCAGTAAAATATATATTTTATTGAAATATAAAATTTAAGACAATGTTCTTACTGAACATTTTTTATTGATTATTTAAAAAGGCATCGCTAAATATTATTTTCCTTCATAAAACATAAAATATACGTGGCCTAAGGTCTATGTTAAAGTTCAGAAGCATTAATTCTCGCGGGTGTTATCTCGGGCCATAAACAAAATATGTGCAAGTTGTGCGCGGATCACAGAGGTCGTCACGGTTGGCTCAAATGCGTTTTTAATGTCGCCGCATCTACGGTTGCTAGAACAGATCTAAGATCAGGGTTCTGGGAGTACCTGATACAAAAAGGAGAAGTGCTAAGCGATTCTGACAGGTAGGAGAATGGAAACCGGAGCCTAGACCATAATTAGCAGTGACTACTGTGCGGCTAATGAGTCCCGAACAGGCAAACCGCAGCGATTCCAAGTGATAGTGATATTTATATACGTATAAAAACAAAGAAGGTGGTAAAAATGGCACTTATTAATTAGAAAATTAGGAAAGTTAGTACAAATAATTAGAGAGGAATTAATAACAAGATATATTATACCGGAAAAATAAATATGCTAATAAATTACAAATAGAAAATATTCTATATCTTTGACCTTCTTTTCCCTTGAAAAAATGAAAAAGCAACTTCTGTTGATATCTCACAGATACAAAGACCTACCAAGTATCTTTGGGATTCAAAGGAGGCGTGTCATTAAGTTGGCCATGGTGTCGCTGCTAATCACACGTTGCCCCGCTAACAAATTCGACCCGAACTTATTATTATTATTGCATGTTGCGTTGCATGCCCCCGTATGCAAAAGGCCCTGCAATTATGCATCCGATGATTCCCTTGCCGATTCCCGTATCTAGATATGTCAGTTATAATAAGCACCAAGCGAAATACGAGCACGGCCAGCAGCAGCAGCAACAACACCAACAAGAACAAGTTAAAACAACAACAACAATACCACGATGCTAACCAAAGATCAAGATACACACACACACACAGATACACACGCACACTCAGGAGCCTAGGTGAGGCATTTAAAAAAAACTTGAATTTCAAGTGAGCAAACAAGAACCCAAGAGAGAGCCAAAAATACAGAGAGCGAAAGATACGTTCCAAAGAGAGCATTTCCAGAGAGAGCAGAGAGCGTAAAAAGTATCTTTTATCACTGGCGCGTTTTTAAACGCACAGAATTGCTCTGGCAAGCGTTTTTAAACGCCTGCCTTTAACAGTCGCGCGTAAAACGCGTAAAACCTCAACAAAAAAATGCTGCACTACCAGAAATAGTAGTTTACAAAATTATGAACATGGATTTTTATATTTTGATTTAATATGTTAATAAATCTGGATACTATAGTATACATTAAAAAATTTATGATATCAAAACTTGTGGCAATTTTTGAAATTATAGGGTCGAAAATGAATCCTTCATCTGTTTCTGACTAAAAATAAAATACCCTGAAAAGGTATAAATTAAATTAAATTAGAGAAAATCGTTATAGGTCTCAGATATAGTACCGAATTGAAAGTACCTAATTTTGTTTAGTGTACCCGCTCGGCTCTTTGATTATTTCTCCCTCCCTGCGAGAGAGCAGCGACTAGCAAGAGAGCTGCGTATTTTTCGGATACGTAGCTCTGGGCTGTCGGCCTGTTGCACATTCCTCGATACGCCGTTCGCGAGTCGTGACGTATCCCGGATTCGTTAACGCTTTACGAGTAAATATTTTCGCCTCGAAGTATCGCCTGCCGCCAATATAAATCGCCAAGAAATATATATATTCTCGAGTTGAGTTATTTAAATACCTGTGTGCTTAAATAGTTAACTAAAAACATGTTCACGCTGGAGATTCTTGTTGAATAATTCTCCGTACACCACAAAAGTTTCCCCAAAACAAATTGCGCTCTCTCTGAGTCTTTCCAATATATATATTTGTGGTTATTTTGTGCTAGTGCTAATAATCAAAACAGTGTAAAAATCGAAGGAGAAAAATAATAAAAAAAAACACACTTGAGCAGAGAAAACACAGGATATGCAATGAACAGGGATTGAGTTTCACCTGATTTGTATTGCCACCTTTCGTATATAATTATAATCAACGTGATCACGCGCTCACACCAACCAAGAAGCTACGACGACGACAACGCAAGCGGAGGAGTTTGTTGCCAGGATCAAGTTTTTGGCAAAACCCATAATTTCGCTGCTGCTGCTTCTTCTTCGTAGTCGCGGGCTCGGGCTCCATGGTGTCGCCGGCTTGACCGATGCCTCAGTTGCTATAAACAAACCCAACTCCACGACCGAGACCCCTGAAGCCGAAGCGAGAGAGTGGAGCCAAACAAATCCAGTTCTCCTGGTGCTTTTGTTTTGCTTTTGCTGGCTGCCTCTGCCTCGCGTTTATTGTTTTGCTGCAAGGCGAGAAGAGAGTGGAGAGAAGACTGAAAGACTGCAGACTGGGGAGAGAGGAGAGAGGGAAGAACTGGCCCCAAACACCCGGGATCCCGATTCCGATCCCAAACCAAGAAAACTGAACGCTGAACTGAACTGAAGGAACGATCAAGAGGCAGAAAAAACAACAACTAAGTTGCATCGTATAAAAATCATCTGCTGTTGTTGCTGTTGCTGTTGTAGCCATCAGACATGGCGCCGAAATCCAGAAAGAAGAAGGCTCATGGTAAATATTAATATAACATTTCTTTTGCTTTTTTTTTTGTTCTCTCATGCACCTTGAAAAACGAGGGAAAAACAATTGTGGTTCATGGTTTTCTTGGGTATATTTGTTTTCTGGAAACTAGAAAATCTGTAATTGTTAAAATAATAAAATCAAATAAATGTAAAGTTTAGTTTAAAACTTCATTAAGACCTTAAGGTCTCTTAACAGGTTCAAAAACCATAATAACATCATTTTGATAATGTCAACTCAATTTTTAAATATTTATTATCACATCACTTTAGTATGCCAAAGATAAGGGTTATTTTTGATAGATAAAAATGCCGAACTGATAAAGAATTTACGTGTTATATGGTATCTTAGAGATTATTATTATTATAGATATTATTTGGTAAAATAGAAAAACAAAGAACATTTTATAGAAGCGAACTTTGATTTCTTTTAAGCTTCCTAGAACCTATTCTGCGCAGTTTTCTCTACCTAAAATCAGCTTATATTTATGTAAGCAATAAGTACTTTTTAAAAAGAAATAAAAAATGGTATTTTAACTTACCTAAAAAATACGTCATGATCCTCTAAAGACTTGCTAAAAATGTTTATAAAATACGACTGCTTTACCATTTATTTTTATTAAATTATTTTACCCATTAAAAGGGTATTAAATCTTCGATTGTTTTTATTTATTAACAATTGAAGAAACCTCTTTGCCCCAAGTTGCAATTCTCTAGCAGATTTTCCATGAAGCTTTCACTGCCTTGCCCAGACTCGTTTCTTATCGGAAAGCCCATCAGAGTGCTGGCATTGGCATTATCATCGGCACATGATCATGGTCTCATAAGTATGCAGAGCTCATATTACAAATCTCTGGGCATATCCTGTTGACTATGCCCGGCCTGGCCCCTTCCCTTTTTCTCCCCGATTTCAATTGAAATCCGTTTGCCTTGCGTTTTGTTTCTAATTGCGTTTCGTTGTTGGGTCTCTATGCCAAGTGTGTCTCTGGTATCGGGTCTCCGAGAGAGAGAGAGAGAGACTGGAACAGGGACCGGCACCGATTCCGATCCTTCTGACCATCCCAAGGAGATCCCATCAGCTTAAAATATGCGACGTCGCTGCCGCTGGAGTTGTGCATGTTTTCCTTAATTTTTTATGACCCTGAGCAGGTAGAACACAGCGAGGCAAAAAAAAGATTGAAAAACAACCACACAATCGGGCAGGGCACCCCTTGCTGGAGGATAGTAGTAGTATCCACTGGATACCCCGAAAGCCAGAACCAGAAAGGGAAGGAAAAAAAGATCAGCTGTCAATTTTATGGGTGCCCCACACTCTTTCTCTCTCTCTGGGAATGATGGGGTGTTGTACGCACATATTTTATGCCTTTTTGTGTGCCCAACTTTGTTGTCATTCCGTCGTTTCATTTCATTTGCTTAGATTATTTTGATATGCATCTGAGCATTTGATTTGGGCTTAGACAGCCAAATGAATTTTACGACCGCGCGTGGGGATACACATTGATATAATCCCTTTTCATCCGCTTGACATAGCCAACACGGAGCGCATTTGTTGATCTCTGATAATATTTCTACATACAGTGGAGGATAGAATTTAAGCTGATAGATACTAGAATTGGATAGGATGTTCTTTAATTTGAAAGATACTTCTTAAAGATAAATGCAAAATAAATATATTAGGAAGCAGTGAAGATATTTTATATAATAATATATATCTCAATCTATATATAACTTATCATACCCATTTTCACAACAGAAATTTTAAATCCACTCTGCTTTGGTTTAAAAAACAATCCCTTTTCCGAGAGACAACTGTAGTTTGTTTGTTTCTTAATTTCGTTAGCATTTATAAACGCCTGCCAATCGTCTGGGCATCCGTCCAGGTGCAGATCTCTGTTTCCTCGGCTTGTGTGTGTCTTTTTGATTTACTTTGTGCATTCGCACAGTCTGGGTATTTTTCTCTCTCTTAATAATAAATTCGCCACGGGTGGTGGTCAGTCTCCGACGGCTGCGCCCATGACAAATCGCAACAAATGCCAAACAACAGACAAGATAAAAACCCTCGAAAGCGCTACAAATACGAAAGACACCTTTGTATATCTATTGTGTAGATTTCGAGACAAACCAACCACACCCACAGAGTGAGTTTTCCTCGAAAAAGGCCAACATCACATCAAAAGAAAGTCGCTGGCCAGCGATCTAAAAATCGATCGAAAAAAAATAAAACAACATATAAGCTTTAGCTCCGATAGGAAAGACCCAGTTCCCAATGCCGTCAAGTGCAGGCCTGATGATGGAATCGAACCGAACCACTCGATGTGGTTCCACTCCTCATATCGCCTCGAAAATGTTTCGTGGAATCTGGCTCACAAATTGTGCGCTCTTCACACTGATAGGAGAGCAACGCACGGACTGATAAGGGTGCGGATGTGGGGGCCACTAAAATACTAATTCCCCCCAGGTATATGACCGACCGACCGTTCGGCAGGGCTAGGTTTGGTGGTTCCCGAGCTAGGCTAGCTGCCAGTTCCGAGTACTCGGACCTAATCTTATCAATTTTGTCGTCTGCCGCCGCCGCCGTCGTAAACAAACAAAAATAGTTATAATAATAATAAGCGAGAAGCAACACAAAAACAAAATAAATACGTAATGCACACGTTTATTTTTACGAGCAACGTGTGGCTGCATTTCTAGCGTTTTTAGAAGAGGCCTCAAAGATCTACGAAAACCAAACTAAACACCAAACATAAACTCTACCTGTGTACAACATATATATTTTGTATATTTTTTGCTGACCATTTGGCACTTGCACTTTCTTAGCATTTATTTTTAATTTACGTAAATGCCAACCTGTCGATTTTTCCCCTTCACTCATTAAAAGCACGCAAAGGGGGTCATTGATTTGTGCGATGGCCCTACGTGTGCGATGCGTTCTGACCGATCAGCACAAATCCCGGCTAGACGCTCTAAATGCCGACCGTCGCGTCTTTAGACGAAGCAAGGCAATCTGGCGACACCTTAGTCTGGCGAGATCTCATCTATATACTTTTATTTTTAATTTATATTTATATTTAATTCATGCAAGCATTGAATCTCTGGCATTGTCTCGAAGAACGTCTCATGATCTTCCATAAAAACACGATTCATTTTAATGAAGTGTTGGCCATTAAGGTGCTCTCTCTTATCAGATTAAAGATTAAACGAAAGCTACGAAAGCTATGAAAGCTGTTTAGAACTGCATTTAGTATATAAAACCTGATTCTGTTGCCAACAATGGCTTTTGATCTAAGCAAAGCTGTACTTCCTTTATTGAGGGAATTACTCTGCGAGTGTGACGCGTGAAATATCCGATTCGTTCTGAGAAAATTGCATAACTGGAATTGAGCTCCTCGCATCTCGTTGAAGATTAGAGAAATCTTAGAAGCTTAAATAACATGTAATTATTTTTTAAAGACTGTTGAAGGTTTTTAGATGGAAAGATACATATATTTTCTTAATAAACAATTACCTGTTAATAGGTAAATATTTTCACGATTTGTGGGCTTTTGTATATTTTCTAGCTAGTCAAAATCAATGTTGTTTATGGAGGAGTTTGTTAGATACTTTATTAAAAGTTTATAGGTTTTTGTAATATCAAAATTTGTATTCCCTTAACTCATTGATTTATAATTTATATCTCTACTGAAATGTCACTTCATGATTAGCTGCTCGTATATTCCCTTAATGCTTAATCAAAATATCAGCCACATCGGTTTCAATTGAAAGATGTCTTTGCTTAGCTCTCCTGAATTCCCTTCCCTGTCTTTTGCTGCTGTGGTTCAAGTGCAACGTGCGCATATCCTGTTTGGCAGTGTGGTTCTGGGGGATGAGGGATCTCGGATCTGGGTTCCAGTCGATGCGATCTGTCGCCAGCGTGTGGAGCACACATGTGAGAGGAGAGCGCGTGAAAATGACGACTGTGAGGCGCGGCGAATCCATCCATCCGTCCGTCTCAGTCCCTGGGAGTTGAATCTTCTGCGTTCTACGTTCTGCATTCTACAAGAAAAACGAAGATGTGGATATGCGGATATGCTGAATGCTGAGTAGGCGGCAGCTGCTGCTGTTTGTCAAAACATTGGCATGGAATTCGCTGTGAGGCGAGGCAAGTGAAATGAAATGTATCTGCCAGATACATATGCATCGCCAGGCATATGTAAATGCAGTTTCCTGCCCCAAAAAAAAAGAAAAAGAAACGAAACTCCATTAGCGAACAATAACAGCAACATCCACGAATTCCGCTTAATTTCGTTGACGATTAATCAAAATCAAATAAATGCAAGTAACTTGGGTTCTCCTCCTTCCTTCCCAGTATACATATATTCTCCAGCTTCTTCTCCTTTTACTAACTGCTGCTGCTGGCTGTTGGACGATGATGGATTTCGTGATAAATGAAGTGAAATTTGAGTGGATTTTATCTCAACTCCGTTGGGTTTGCTGTGCTTCTTCGTCTTTTCTTATTTTTTGTACTCCACACAAATGCGTTAAATGCTCAAAACGATTATCTTTGGCTTGCAGCGAGCAGCGAGCCCAAGTTTATGATGATTTACATGCGTGTACCGGGGCTACAGTTGCGGTTAAAATTATTGGAGGATTTTATAAGAACATATATTTTTATTCTACGTAATTTTTAAGATTTTCTTCTTGCTTTTAAAATACATAAAATATAAGTTAGAGCCTGACTTGAATAAGTTTACAGCAGATAACTGCCTTTGTATTTGTATTTTAAGTATTTTTTAAGATTTTCTTTAAGCTTTTAAGATATAAAAATAATATAAGCCAGAGGCTAACTTTAAGTTCAAAGAAATTTAAGTCCAAAGATAGACTTTTTGTGTATCCCATAGAATTTTCTACCACTTATCACCAATTATATAGAAATTCGTTGTCTATACTTAAAGTCTTAATATTTTTACTGATTTATTTAAAGCTTTTTCAATCAACTGGTGACTAGGCAAGAAA